TATGACTTATTTCAAACTCAACAAACTGGTGTTACTTTCCATTCTCACACGGAGTGTGTAAGGAATAGCAGAGTTGATTGTGCAGCAGGCGTCAGAGTTGCGTCTCTGGTGTGTTAGGTCAGGTGTTCTCAGTGGATGAAGCTATTCATTCTGAGAAATCGGTACATTGGTGCCGCTGTTAACTTTGGACTGCAACTGGAGCTTCGGGGTAACTCTGGAGGTACTCTGGAGATCTATTTTATTTTATACAGAATACTAAGAAAGCACAGTATATAGTGTTGGGAATGTAAGTCAAAGGTACTGTTCAGGTTAAGGCGTCAGGTCATGTAATTGGCTTGTCACCTGGCAGCCTCGAAGCAGCTTAAAGCAGTATTATTGCAGAGACAGTGCATTTCCCAGCCTTTAGTTCTTCGGTGTCTAAATTAAGGATAATTCAACACACTGGTGCATATCCCTGTCGGATTCTTTATAGATGATTTCTGCATTGTTCCAGTGCATGAGATGACTTTCAGATCTGTGTACTACACAAGTGATGCTGGCGTCTCGGTTACATCTCCCCACATGGTGTGGCTTATACTCCTGCTTCATTGTTGGGTGTGTTATAAGAATTATTCTTCCTGGGGATAGTCTCTGATGGAAGACGTGGCCATGGTAGCTAACATCCAAGATAATCCAAGAAAGTCAGTGCGTCATCGAGAACTGCCTGTCTTACTTGCATTGTGATCTTTCAAACTTGTCATCTTCGATACGACCCACACCAATAGACTAACGCCCAGGTACCTGTTTACTGCTAGGTGAACAGGGACAGTAGGTGTGAGGAAACATACCCAACGTTTCCACCCATCCTAGGGATTGAACCACGGACATTCAGTGTTTGAGACGAGCGCATTGCCAATCTAAGATGATGCTTCTAGAAAGATCAGATAGAATCAAGAATCTGGGCTTCTCGGTAGTGGCGTAGTTGGTCGAGTTGAGTATTTTCTCAGTCATGTGTTTGCAGTTTTGTATAAAGCCAGGAAAGAAGTGTGTGTGAAAGCACAGGTGATGCACTTCATTTCCTCGTCTAAGAAATCGGAACTGGAGATACAGATCGTTCTTAGAAAAAAAAAAAAAACTCGTACCTACGCCTTTGTTGGTGCTAGTGTTGTGGTATCAGTACAAATGAGTAAGGTTATCATTTCTGTGAGATTTTCCCTAGACTTGAAGAAAGGGTATCTGTGGGGGCTGTCCTGCATAAAATATCATTAGAGAAATAGTGGTTTACCTTCCTTTTCTAGTTCAAGAGTAAATTGATAGCGGAAGTGCCACACACAGTCTAGCTGGATACTAGCCACAGTTCTGTCCAGCATGCTAGGAACCATAATTCATGATCATCTTAACCGCTGAAGACCTTCTTGCTAGAGTCAATAATATCAACATTAAGAATAAACGTATGGTGCCATTTGCTGCTAATTTATTTTCTCCAAATGTTCCTAATAACTCCATCACAGATATACTCAAAAGTAAACTTACAGATGATACCAACTTCCTTCTACTATGACACTACTTCATATCTCTCACTAAGGTCAGCGTTAATGTAAAGTTCTTCGTAATGCATTTACTACGTTAAGTAAACAAATTCTGGCGTCTAGGGGTAACAACCTGCCTAGTCTTGGAGCATTTAAAATATTAAAATATGAGTACCACCTTAGAGTCAGTTTGTTTCTTCACAAAACTTTACCTGTTCAATAATTTATCATGAAGAGTAAATTCACCTTTATATTATTATTAGGAAGGCCAGTTAAAAGAACTTTTATAAAAATGTAAATCTATTAGTAGTAAACTAATATTTACAACATAAACCTACCATCTGCATATAAAATCACCAAACACTAGTAATCCTTCACCAAGTACTCATTTTAGCTCACTAGCATACTGTTACTAGTGGTTAAAAAACAAGCATTTATAAATAGGGAGGCTCCATAACCCAACCCTTCCTTCTGCCGGCATCTTAGCCTGCAGGCAAAGCGCTACATGATGAGTTATTTCCCAAAACTTAAACAGGCCTCTCCTCATACTAGGGCCTTACAGATATATCAGGAGAGTAAATACATAAATTTTAAAGCAACCTATGGCATACTCTTACCCAGAATATTCCCTCCCCTACTTACACAAACACCAAACCATGACGTCTTGTTCCAATCTCCCCTCTTCCCTTACTGACTCAAAAACACCTCTCCTTTCCTGCCTCTCCTGGCCACTCTGACTGACCAGGAATAACACGCGTCTGGTTACAGAATAAATCCAGTTACTGACATTATTAATACACATTTTCAGTACACATTTTTTTTACAATGCCCTGCGTAATACCTTCAAATATGAAAACCAGTTTTTGTAAAATTACTTTGGCTTAGCTATGGAAGTTCACTAAGAGCAATCCTGGCCAACATTTTTATAGAGAACGTTGAGACCAAAGGCGGGCTTTCGCAGTATCATTGCTAGTACAGTCACATGGCTCAGGTATGTCGATAACAATCTAGTTTAAAGAGTATCTCAGAAGACTTAACATTCAAGATCTTCACAAGACAACGTCAAAACTACTATCAGTCACAAGGCAAACTACCATTTTTTAATGTTCTATGCAGATCACCCTACAAAGACACTTTCTATTTCAGAGTCAACAGAAAAGCCACAAATTAATATGGTCGTGCTTATTTCTTCTCACACCGCGACACTTGTACCGAATTCCACGATGAAAACTTTCGGTACATCTCTAATGCCTTCACAAGCTTTCCTCCGTAATATAAACAAGACTGGATCGCAGAGCTAAGACAGTTCCCTAGTCTACTACGAAAGGAAGTGGGTCAGGCACATAAGGTGAAGAACAGATTTTGCAGTTGAGATGCAGAATTATAGGGGCATTCTTTAGTTTCCTACAAGGAATCTAGTGGTCAGTGTAGTAGTGGAGCCAGTAGTAGAGTAGTACAGTGATGCAGCAGTAATAGACGAAGTCACATGTGGGCGGGTCCCACTAAAGGACGTAGGTCAAGTTGATGAATAACATATAGGCGATATTGAGAGACATTTTACCAGCAAGGCAGTACACAGACATGACAGTGAGACCATGTATTATTGGAACAAGTGGAAGGATGATGAATAAGATACGTGCAAGTCCTGTTTCATCAACCAGTGACTTTTCAACTCATTACAGAGATTTTAAGCTGGAGACAGTGGAAGATTGGGTAATCAGTCTCTCAGCCTTGACAAGTGATCACTTCCTTAACTTTGAACAATCTGAAGCAGGGGCAAGCAGATAGAACCACATACGGCCATACCACATTGAACGAACCACTTCTCATCCGATCAGCGATGTTAAGCAACGTTGGGTTTGGTTTGTACTTTGATGGGTGACCGCCTGGGAACATCAAATGCCGTTGACATCAATGTTTAGGTGCCAGATCAACTAGGCTGCGTTGGATATGTGGGGCTGCGGGCCACAAGCAGCAACAGCCTGATTGACCAGACTAGCACCAGACGAGCCTTGCCCATGGCTGGGTGTCATGATTAGAAAGACTCTCGAGTATATACAAGAACCAGAGAGAGGTGCAGCAGTAGAAGGCATATCTTTTACAACCTTAGTGCTAACCTCTACCCTAACTCATGGACTTGACCTAATTCTACTAGTGAGTCCTGCTCACCTGTGATGATTCCTTCAACTGCTGCACCTTTCTTTTGGTTCCAGTATACAAGTGTCCTTATGCTTTGCTTCAGATTGATCATATATAAGCGACTGAACACCTATCAAGGTTTGTGGAATGATTACCTTATCTTCCATTATCTCCAGTATATACTCACTGTAAAGAATTAACAAACTATTGGTTTGCAAAATTCCTTCATAATAAAAATACCCAAGTGCTACACATGTGTTATTCTTCAACTTGTCGGTATTGTATACCATTAATGTAATGTTCAGTGGCAGAATGTAGCAGTAGTAGACAGTGTCACATGTGGGTGGGCCCACTAAGGGAAAGTAGGTCAGGCCTATCAGGTTGGCCAAAGATTGAGCAATCGAATTGTAGAGACCACCTTTCGTTTCCTACAAGGAAGCAAGTGGTCAATCTCGTTGTAAAACCAATAGAAGAAGTAGAGCGATGCAGTAGTAGCAGACATTATCACATGTGAATGGGTGCCAGTACTGGAAGTAGGTCGGGCTCATAAGGTTGGTTAACGCAACGGTCTGGAGTTTTGAGACTCTCTGACCGCGGGTTCAAACCCCACCCGTGGTATGGTTTGTTTGCAATTGTGTCATTACGATTTCGTGAATGCACGGAGAATGCAATCGTGTCATTACGACTGCATTCTCCGTCTCAAGATTCCATTGGTGTTGCTGTTTCAAACAAGTATTATTAATGCCTGAGGTTTATAATACCGAGAAATTTATGAATAAGACATAAGTGCAGAGCCTAAGCATCTTTATCGAGAGATGGTTTACCCACTAGAAAGGAGAAATATTGGAACAGTGGAAGAGTAGTGATGCAAAAAAATAGGTTAGGCCCGTAATGTGTGCCAGGTTTTTCTACAAGGGAGCAAGTGGTCAGTCTCGTAGTGGGGCCAGGTAATTAGAGGATGTAGATTGAGTCAGCAATAGTAGACTTAATCATATGTGGGTGGGGACCACTACTGGAAATAAGTCAGGCCTATAAGGTGGGTCCCGCTCACATGTGATCACGTCTTTTACTGCTGCGTTCATTGACCTTTTTAACTTTTTTACTGTAAGAGGCTCTATTTTCATGTCTATATTAGATCGATAAAATCTTTAGTGGTCGTAATGTCTCTTGATAAAGATACCGAAGTGTTGAACATTGGTGTTATCAACAAACTTGTTGGTATTTAATACTCTTGATTTAATACTTGTCTGATAAAGGAACACCGAGAAATCTTGGTACAGAGAACACGACATTGTACGACTCGATTGACAAAACGTAGTGTATTAAAGGAATAATTAAATCATATTGCTACTTAGTCTTTATTGGTGAAACATATAAGTATCAACACGGGTATGTTGTGCTCACGTTACATAGTCTTTGTTTCATCATATTCTTCAGTATTATTATATGCAGTTTTGCTCCCTATAATGAAAATAAAATATTGAAAAACGAACAAGGGATACATTAGTATTATCATAGGCACCATTTATCCTTCTCTAATAAGGTAATAAATCACTAGATAGAAGTGGAGAAACCATTGTAGAGATGGAAAAGTATAACACAGGATCAAGCCAGAGCATATGGGCAGACAAGCTTGTTAGTTACGCAAGAGTAAGTGTTTTTATTGAACACTTTACCACCAGTACAAGTGTACTTACGGAGGATAAGCTTGCCTGACGCAGATTTCTTACAAGTGTAGTACTTGTTACACTTACACTCAGGGTAGGCATACACTCCTACTGCTTTATTAAAACACGTTGCAACCTTGCACCTAGGCGTGGTAGTGGTGGTGGTAGGAGTGGTGGTGGTGGTAGGAGTGGTGGTGGTGGTAGGAGTGGTGGTGGTGGTGGTGGTGGTAGTAGTAGTAGTAGTGGTGGTGGCGGTAGGATTGATGGTGGTGGTAGGAACGGCATTAGTAGAAGTGGGAGTGATAGTAGGAGCATAAATAGTAGGAGTGGGTGAGGTGGCACGAGCAGTATTGGTAGCGCTGGGAGTGGTGGTAGGGTTGGTAATGGTAGCGCTGGGATTGGTGGTAGGGTTGGTAATGGTAGCTCTGGGAGTGGTGGTAGGGTTGGTAATGGTAGCGCTGGGAGTGGTGGTAGGGTTGGTAATGGTAGCAGTGGGAGTGGTGGTAGTGGAGGTAATGGTATCACTGGGAGTTGTGGTGGTGATGGTATTTGCTTCTGGATCAAGAGTGGTTGTAGTTAAGCTGTTTCCATCAATATCAACGCCTGCACAGATACGGTGAGGGCCAAGATCTGTGCAGAAGCCTGCTTCACCAGTTACATTGTCGACTATACAACCAAGGCGTTCACACATTATATCCCTGCGACACGTCTCACCTCTGTAAGGGGAAACGCAGCTTGCAGATAAACAATACTAACTAAAAAATAAGAGAATCACTCAAAAAATTTTTTTAAAACAATAACTGTATAAAATGTATTAATTGGAAATTGATAATTTCCATCAGCTGCATCAAAATGTTTTTGAAGGACATTTTGCAAGGAAAATATTTATACTTATTCACTGATATTCATACAAGGAATGCTAATTTGGCAAGGTTTTGAAAATATGTATTTACATCTTCAAGTTATATATATATATATATATATATATATATTATATATATATATTATATATATATATATATATATATATATATATATATATATATATATATATATATATATATATATATATATATATATATATATATATATATATTATATATATATATATATATATATATATATATATATATATATTATATATATATATATATATATATTATTGTGATCACGAACGAGTGTCCTTGGGTAGCGAGTACAACATTCAGTTCCGCTGGATGTCCTACTCTTAAGGATCGGATGGTCCAGTGGATTAGGGCGTCATGTGTTGTCGTCCACCATGAGGCAGGCCAAAGCAGCATGGGTTCGAGTCCTTGGCTAGTGCAGTGTTGTTACATATATATATATATATATATATATATATTTGGGGTCCACCTCTGGTGTAAATTGTGGGACCCATAGCCTCGGAGAAGTGGATAAAAAGGCTTCAAGGAAAAATATTTGGATTTCTTCCTGAAGCCGTTTGAATATTCCACTTCCCCTACCACCCCATCTTTTTATATTTTTTTTTTACTAATAGGAATATTTTATTACATAATATGGTACAGAAGATCCAAGAGATACACTATTGATATAAAGGTGGCACATACGGTACATGTTACGTGTGTATCACCGATTATAAGGCGAAAATCTCATCCAGCTCCTCAGAGCTGGGGCGTGTGCCCAAAATACAGCAGGCATTACCCCTTTGAACAGCCGCACTGAGCCGCTGGAACAGAAAACTAGCTGCCCTGGGATCCCTAGTTACCCTGATGAGTCTTTTTCCCAGCTCCTTAAGGAATTTAGATGCACTCTTTCCCCGTGAGCCAAGGGTCTCTGAGCCTATGGGAACAAACATATAATGATGGGCAAGTTCTCCATATTTTCTAGACTTTTGGGACTCCCTGAAGCTGGCAGCTGCCCCTCCTTCCTCCCTGGTGTATTGGAGATAGGTATCAGCCAAGGTAGATGCACATGTATAGTCCCACACCACCTGCTTCCCATCTGTCCAGGCTTGAAGGGTGATACCATCTGGACGCTTCTGGCTGCCATCAGATCTGCATAGTTGGGGTGGCTCCCTTACTGCTGGGCATCCAGCTGTTGTGAGGCTCCTCTTGATAATGTTATTAACCTCATGTCTTGCAATCTTTCCCTCGGATTTACAGCACACAAGACCATGGTACCCGAATCGGTCTGCTGCTTCACTGCCACAAATACACCTGTGTTCGGCGAGAATAGGGCGGCAAGTCGAAGGGCAACACCGATGCGGATGGTCTGTGGGTCGAGACGTGTGCCAAGGCTGGAGTTGGGAACAGCCAACAGAAAGTCCCCAGCATGAGGGGCTCTCACTGCCAGGAGGCGGGCTCTATCCTTCCCTGACACACTCTGAAGCATTGTTGAGGCAATATTTTCCACTATTGGACCATCCCAGTGCGATTGTTTGTAGTTGTTGGGGGGAGCAGGTCTGGCTCCAGAGCCCGTTAGATTATCCCAGATCATTGCTCCGTCAATGAATTTTTGGTCCTGGACTCCTATCTTGTCCCTAAGATGTTCAGGGAGAATCGTTGCTACAAGCTCTCTGGATGCAATACACGAGGACAGAAAAGCAGGTAACGCAATCTGTGATGACTTGCGGACACCAATGCCTCCTAGTCTGACTGGAAGTGTAGCTTGGTTCCACTGCCCGTCTTCTAGAGTAAGGTTAAGTACTTTCGTAAAAAATCTGCCTCAGAATACTGTCATATTCGTGCAGTATAGGGTTATCATATGAAGGTGCACATCTTAGGAAATATGTCAACCTGGGCAGACTCAAGCACTTTGTGAGAAGGTACAAGGCATCGTGGGTGTCCAGATTGCCTATTCGTTGTTCCATTCTCCTTAACTCTTCCAATTTCTTCCTGAGAATTGTGTCAATGGCATTGCTTCCCAGAGGTGCTCCTAGCAAGACACTTATTTGTGGGGGCAATGACTGCTGCTCCTGGTAGTTTTGATCTCACTGCATTTATCACTTGTTGACTGACTGAGATGATTTCACATTTGGATGGATTCAGGATGAGACCCATTTTCTGTCCCCGTGTCATTACCTGTGTAAGGTCATGTAGGAGGGACTCTTTTGTACCTGCGAGTGTGCCATCATCTAGGAACCAGATGTTTAGCTCGCTGGTCAGTCTGACTGTGATTTCCCTAACTGCTATACAGAAGAGAAATGGTGCAAGAGGATCTCCTTGTTGGACACCCTCCGATGATGTAATTTCATGCTCTCCAAAGAGAAGCATTGATTCCTTGCTATACCCGGCTGAAACAAAAGGGAAGAGACCAGGGAAATGTTCTTGTACTGCTGCTAATACCACGTCTCTTTTCAGGAGATTGAACGCATTCTTGAAATCTAATTTTACCACTGCATTGTCCTCAGGCAGGTTGTTGATATACGCCCTTGTTGCATGAACCGCTGCTTCACTTCCTTGAGAGACCCCAAAGCCAAGCTGGTTTGGTTGAAGCATCATGGCTGCCTGTGCACGAATACTTCGGACAGCAGATTTGGATACGAGGCGGCGTAAGGTGTTGCCTACTGCAATTGGCCGAATTCCTCCATCCTTCTTTTTAAGTGCACAAAGTGTTGCACCAAAAAAGAAAGGTCTAATTTCATCAGGGATCAGACCAGCCAAGGAATTGTTGACGAACCTTGTGATCTCTGAAAGCAGTGTCTCTGCAATTTCCCCAATAACTGGATTAACCATTTCCTTTAAATGCTGTGGCCTTATTCCAGTGTAACCCCCAGCAGAGCCAGATGGGAACGACATTATTGCTTTGTAAATGTCTGAGTCTTCCACTATCAATGGTTCCATAGTGGGGACAGAGGTGTTGGACCTGTTGGTGCCACTGGTTTCCCTGGCAGGGTGCTTTCCTCTAAGTGCTTCAGCCGTGTCAGCATCCCTGGGAGCAACTGTATCTTCACTGGTAATAATTCTTATTGCCCCCACTGTGTTGCCCTCTTCAATTTTCTTGCTCACCTGGACTCTGACTTTTTCACTGTCAGTAGAGTGAGTGGGGGTTCTGCCATATATATATATATATATATATATATATATTATATATATATATATATATAACAACACTGCACTAGCCAAGGATTCGAACCCATGTAATGGCCTGCGTCATGGTAAGCGAGAACCACATGACGCTTTAAACCACAGGACCACCGTCATGTGGTTCTCACTTACCATGAGGCAGGCCATTACAACATGGGTTCGAATCCTTGGCTAGCGCAGTGTTGTTATTGATCAATACCACTCGTTCGTGGTTACAATAATATATATATATATATATATATATATATATATATATATATATATATATATATATATATATATATATATATATATATATATTATATAATGCCGAATAAGTAAAATTGGTCAGTTAGCAAGAACTCATTTAAAATTAAATCCTTTCTAAAATTATCTCTTAAATATTTAAGGATATATTTTATTTAATGTTAATGTAAAAACTAATAATTTTGTACCAAAAGTGACTTAGAAAACTTACGTAACCTTATTATAACAAGCGCAATTTAATTTAGCCTAATCCAGCTAAATATATTTTAGATATGTTTACAATAATATAATAATAAACACAATGAAATATACTTTTTTCGTTAGGTTCAGAATGATGATTTTGTTGCGAAATTATTCATTCACAAATTTTCGCTTGCCTTATTCGGCAAGAAGAGCTTTGCTATTTAACCCAAAATCGCTAATTTTATCTATTCGGCACGACGTATATATATGACGGGTTGTTTGGTTAGTTGGAATTAGAGCCAAGCTACTACACGTAGGATCATTAACCTGGAAAGACAGAAATACAGTGTAATGAGATTCTTTAACTCCAATGTTTGGCCCAGAGTGAGTTTTATCAAGTCACAAATACGTTTAGAGGGTGAACTTGTATATATAGGACGCACAGTGACGTGAAGTCAGATGGGGTCTGACGATCTTAGATGTCGACGATGTCTAGAAGCCTCGCTAATCACCGCCACTGACACCATAGAACATAATACTGGAAGCTACAAAATTTCAAAAACATTAGCATACATGATACTAAATTAGGCAAAGCACTACTTACCTAACAAAATAGGAATCACACGATCTTATTGTCTACCTGTCCTTATCTCATGTCATTTTTCAGGGCACTGTGTGTCACTCGCACCTCGGTCTCTGCCTATATATACAGGAATGTAGATAAATGGTCCATAGAACCATTCTTCACTTATCTAACTTATAGGCATAACCTACTTCCACATGTGGATTTGTCCACTGATATTGCCTACGACTGCTTCACTTCACCTGTCTACAGTATATAAGCCATTTTGCGCATATGCTATATTCTTTTGAAGATTGATGGACTTATTACATCGACTCCAGGCTGAGGGACTGATTACCTCAAACTCCTGTTCTTCACCATTCTTCTTTGTGTAGGACTGATGAAGCCACTGCTTGGCGAAACGTTTCCTCAGTAAAGATACTCAAGTGTTGCACATGTGTCTAATTCATCAAGTTGATTGAACGTAAGATAAGCTAATGAAGTCAATCACTGTGACTTATTTCTGATCAGAAGACACATTCTCCAGTTATTTCACAGAAACCAGTTTAATAAAAATTGGCACATGATAACCTATATAACAGAGTCAAGAGATTGTTTATTTTGAGGAAAACACATCAACAACGAAAGTTTAAAGCTG